GCTTTTTTGATTATACTTTATAATTTATTTTTAATACTTTTTGTTATATTATTTTGTTGTTTTGTAAAATGTATTTCTCTCTTTTTCCTTCTACTTTTTTCCTGATATTGTTTTATCAATAAATAATTATAGTATTTATATAATATATTATTAATCAAATGGTAAATTTATATAATACAATCCTAATATAAAAATAATATGATAATATAACTATTATTATATAATTTTGAAGGGTAACTTCATTAATTTCATTTAATAATAAATATCTTATTGTTTTATTTTATTAATTACACATTATTATAGTATAATTATTTAATGATTATAGTATAATAATCACGTATAATTTAAACCAAATATTCTATTATTTTTAATATAAGTAAAACACATAATGTCGGTTTATTTATAACAATACTAAATATCATCTTTTTCCTATTATTTGGCACAAGACACACGCAAAATAAAACATAAAAAATGAGATGGCAAAAAAGTAAAGATTGAGACGTTTACCAGAACGTAAAGGACATTCGAAATCCACATTTTCAAAAATACAAAACGAAGAAAAATAACAAGAAAGTTTTAGATGTTTGTTTCATTGGGGAAAGAACAAAGTACTCCCCAACGACTCGATACTATCCGGTCGAGAATATCATGGGCTTCAATCGAGGTCTTTCGCAAGCGATATGTCAATCTAATTGACAATAATGACGCTCCCCTTCAAATTCGTAATATCTATGAAATGCCCGAGAACACGACGTACACCGTAGAAGTTGAATATGAAAGTGTTAACACGCGAATCAAGCAAATGTATCGGTACAACATCTTTCGTTCATCGTCACAACTCACAATCTCCAACGATTTCATTCACGACACTTACACCTTTAACATCGACACATCTCCCGACGAACATTACGTCTTCCACACACAAACACTTTTGTTCTCGAAAATCGAAGGGACCATTTACTTGACAACCAAAAACTTTTTCTTCGTCCCAAAAATGTTATTGTTGGTGTCCCATTTGACTTTCAATTATCAACTGTATAAAGAAACAGCAAAGTATTTCATCAAATTACCACTCCAATTACTCGAGTCCACTCTCCCTAATAACTTGTCTCTTAATATCACCGTTTGTCCTTTTTACCACCCTACTATCCCGACTTGTTTGGTGTTCAATTTCACTTCACAAACATTTGTGATGTCGGTGGTCCACCACCTCGCGTCTCTTCGCTTTCAAGACGGCGGGGAATCACCTTTAAATAAAATCCCAATCGATGACTCGTCTGACCACGGCGCTAAGCTCCAAGAAAGAGTCGACGGCATATATAACCCTAATATAGAGTTAACAAGACAAGACATGGAGAAGTCCTTTATGATCACAGACGTTAATGCAAGATTCCAATTGTGTCCAACGTACCCCACTGTGCTTGTCGTACCAATCGAATTGTCGAATAAACAGGTATTAAAGAACATTGCGAGGTTTAGGTGTAAAGGACGTATTCCTTTAGTCACGTATTATTCCAGCAAAACAGGCGCTGCACTATTTAGGTCATCACAACCCCTCGTCGCAACAACCTTTGCTTTTGGTGTGTTCAAACAGAGTCAGTCGCAAGAAGACCAGGACTTAATTCATCACTTACGGTGTGACGGGAGAGACGAAAATGCTAAATTGTTTGTCCTTGATTGCAGAGCTGTAGCAAATAGTGTTGCTAATCGGTTCAATGGAGGTGGGACGGAGAGCACAAATAGTTACAAGAACTGTACTATCTATCATCTAAATTTGCCGAATATCCATACTGTGTATTCGGCGTATCAAAAGATGGTGACTGGAATCAATTTGAGGAACGAGAGAAGTGTCTCGGAGTATTACTCGTATGTCTCCGACTGGTTTGATATATTACAAAACATATGTGAGAGTGTGAATAAGACTGTGATATTATTGAATAACGGAGATCGGGTGTTAGTGCATTGTAGTGATGGGTGGGACAGAACGCCCCAGATCTCTGCGTTATCGCGAATTTGTTTGGATAGTTATCATAGGACTTTAGAAGGGTTTTTGTCGCTGATTGAATTTGAATGGATCATGCTTGGGCATAGATTCCAATTCAGACTAAGAAACAACCTCAAAGAGAATTCCCCCGTCTTTCTGCAGTTTCTGGAAATTGTGGTTATGTTCCTGAGGAAGTACCCCACCGACTTCGAATTTAAAGAAAACCTTTTAGTGGATTTGGCTGTGGAAAGTGTATGTCCGACGACGGGAACGTTTTTATATAACTGTGAAGCGGAGAGAGAGAAGTTCGATGTTGCTGGGACGCGGACATCGTTTTTCAAAAAAGTGATGGAAGAGAAGCAAAAGTACAAGAACAAGAATTATGTGCAAGACGATGACAATTTTGTCCTACGAAGTCATTTTGAAATCTACGAGTTTGTAGTCTGGAAGGATTTTTATTTGAGAGACATTGAATACTCGTGTGAAGTTCCTGATAAATAAATAACCACTGTTTGATTGATTTGAGTTTTATTGGAGTATCAAATATTTAAAAAGGTCGATATTTCTTTTTCATACTATGACAAGAAATTGAAAGTATTCAAATTACTGAATAGTGAATTGTAGAGACCCAAAGAACGCGTTTTCTTCGACTGTTTTAACGTCTTTTAAGTTGATTGAAACAAGATTCGAACATGTAGAAAACGCGTATGGACAAATCAGTGAACAGTTTGGAGGTAACACGACAGAGGAGAGTGAAATACAATGATCAAAACAGCGACATGGGATTTGAGTGAGTAACTGTGGGATATCAATTGAAGACAATTGAGTACAATAATTAAATGTATATGTTCCGATATTATTCAAAGAATTTGGTAACTGAATTGTTGGTAAATTATAGCAATGACTAAAAGCATTGTTTCCAAGTGTTAGAAGACGTTGTGATAAAGTAATGGTTTTCAACACCACACAAAATGAAAAACAACTTTCACTGATTTCAGTGACTGCATTTCCCATTTGAACTGAAGTCAAATTGGAACATCGTAAAAATGAAAAAATCCCAAGTTTTGTGACCTGAAGTGGAATTTCAATTGAACTGATTGATGAGTCACAAAAACATTTGAACTCGATGTTTGATATGTTCACAGGAAGTTTATCGTGAATGAGTTGATTGTGGTGTGAATATGAAATGTTTTTGCAAATACAATTATTCTTCTCTTCTATTAATGAGATGTCATAGTCGACTTGGTACCAAACAACATACCCGGCTATTTTACCATCAGTGAATCTATAATGATTTCGTTCATAAATGTAAAGGGTTTCGATGTTTGGAAAGTATTGACGAGTTTCTTTAAGAAGTGTAATTGGGTTATAGTGGAACTTTTCCATATTTCCTTGAAACTTTTTACATACAAATTCGGCGTTAATGAAGTCGTAGATCGTCCTAAAATACTTCGAAACGATCATTAGACTGTAACTGTCTAATTTGTGGCTCATTGTTTAATTTAAAAAGATGAAAAAATTTGAGGAATTTATTGTTATATAATTCAGAAATCCATCTCAAAAATTGTAAACTGTAAAAATAGAACTTGATGATAATTGAAGGCACACTTGTTGTGAGTATAATAACTATAGTTGTGTTATGTGTTCTCTACAAAATTAGTAGTGATGCAGAAAAAGATAGCGACGCACCAGAAAGCAACAATGTTGCTTCTCAAGAAGAAACACAAAAAGATGTTGAACAACAAAATCAAAACCAAGAAACAGAGGAAATACAAACTGTTGACATCTCTTCACTTGTCAAAGACAAGACTAAGCAATTTGAAGATAAAATTGCAGCTCTTGAGAAGAGTCACACCACACAGCCACTAGTCAAAGAACAGGCACCACAACAAGAAAAACACAACACAACAAATAAAGAAAATTGCACAACAAATGAGTACGTTAAGAAAGAAGAAACGTGTTTTGAGAAACAAATGGTCACGCCAAAAAATGAAAAAAAAGATATTGTGCCGAAAATTGAAGCCCCAAAAGAAGTTAAACCGAAAGAATCCATTCATGTTAAAACGGTTTTTGAAGAAAAGGAAGAACGCAATAAATTAAATTGCGTCTCATTGTCGAATCTCATTGTGTATTTGGACAACTACAAAACAGCCGCCAAATTGTTTCTTGTCAATAAAAAATGTCAGCACAGCCGCGAGCTTGTCAAAACGAGTCCACACTATAAAGCTCCGTCTATAGATTTAAGCTTTCCAAGAAGTATTTTTTTCGAACAAGAAGCACTTCTCGAAGAGCTTTATTTGTTCCCAAAAATGGAAGTTTTTGAGATTTATAATGACCCAAGTGAACTCCGAGCTGTTTTGGGAAAAAGCAAGTCAATAAACTTTGCTGTAAAAACTTTCTTGTGCAGTAAAGATATTATGGGTCTTGAGAAGGAGGACAAAGCGCGTTTTGTTGAGATATACTACAAAAGTAAAACCCCAGAGAGGATCACACTATTTAAAAACCTCAAAACAGCGACGCTTGGAATTGAGAAGGACCAGAAGGTCACTAAATTTGTTCTGAAGAAACATCAGATGGATGTACTGAATATCGTATTTTTCGATGGACTGGACGTTACGTTTCTTGAGAAGAGTGGAGAATACAAAGCAAAGAATATTAACATCGTTTGTGTTAAGGAAGAGGATGTCAAAAAAGCAATTGAAATTCGCAAAACTTTGGGGCTTAAGTATGTTGTCGTTTTGGCAAGTTCTCAAAACGTCAATCAAAGTCCAAATGAGTTTATTGTGATTGCGAAAAAGTACCAAACCGAAAAGAAAATAATTGAACCACTCAAATTTATTGGAATTCCACTGAATAATTTGGAAAGGTGGAACGGCGAACATCATGTCATTTTTGAAAACCAGAAAATTGATGAAAACTTCAATTTGAAAGGAAAAGACGGAATACTTCAAGTTGAATTCAAAAATTGTGAGATTGACACGGCTGTCGACGTCAACGACTTTTATCCGCCTTCAATCTTATCACTCATTTCTGGAATTGAATTTGTCCCGACTCACTGTGACAACTTGAAAAAAGTTACATTGAGGAATTGCCACGACCCAATAAATCTGGAGCACCTGAGCCAACTACAAGAGCTCTGTATTGAAGATTCTTCGTTTGGGGAAATCAAGCAACCCCTGACGCTGCCACGAAGGTGCTCAGTATTGACTTTGATAAGAATATCACAAGTCCGACTCGACCTTGAAAATTGCAAAAATGTTTTTGAAATTGTTATTCAAGAAATGGACAAAATTGAGATTAGAGTTCCGCACTACATAAGTAATTTGATCATCTACAACTCTAAGAATGTTGCTATGACAAAGCTTGATGAAATAGACCTAAAGCGTTTGGCCCTTATTGGCTCACAACTCATATTCTTCGATTTTTTTAAAGTTGTGGATAAACTCGATGTTTTAATTATGAAATAATTAGTTAAAATTACTTATATCTATTATCTATTATAGTATATAATAAATATATTTATAATTCTATACTAATTCAATTTTATTATTAATAAAAAATTATTATTTATTAATAAAAAAAAAATTTTTATCAATTAATAATTTATTAATTGATAAAATAGTTTTCAAGTGGTTTATATAGTAAATTAAATACTAATATTTATACTAATATTAATTAATAAAAATATAATCCAAAATGAAAAAAAAATCAAAAGGAAACTATTAATACTATAATTTTAGCTAGTCACACGTAATGGAAGAATATTCACTAATGGATTGCCTTCCCGCAGCATGTCTGGACACATTAAGAACAATGTATGGCATAACACCGACTTTGGTTTCTCAATTGAGATATTGTTCGAAAGACCAATTTTCGAATTATGTGAAGTTGACGAAAGAGACATTAGACAAGTTACTTGACTTCTTAACGCCATACACCAAAGCCAATTTAATACTTCGCAAGTACTTTAATGTACTCTCTTCGAACTTATTTGCAACATCAACCGACTTTGCACAACATATAGTTACCGTTCTTTCCACGAAAATACCGTACAATGTTGCGATGAAAGGAAAACGACAGAACCTTTCGATTGCATCGCAACGCCCACAACAAAATGCAAACGCACGGAACATCACGTGGGACAAGACATCCCTTCCCCCCCCTCATTTTACACGACGTTTGCACCCACTCTATCACGTAGTTGATATCATTGCTGTGTCAAAACCAAATGCCGTGGTCAACATCTTCTGCCCAAACCCGTTTTTCATTCGGTCGATCGACAAAGATGGTAAAGACACGACGAAGCCGCTTACTATAGATAACGTGACGTGTTTCTTCGAGAACGACGAGAGTGGAACGATTCTACCAATCAAATTGAAGGAGGGCAACCGTGTTGTCGTGACGGAGGATTCCGTCATAGTCTTTTCAGCGATTTTGGTGAGCACTGAGGAAATGGTGGAGAGAATGATGAGAGAAGCAAGAGAGGAGAAGAGAGTCGTTCAATCGAACGAACAAATGACCGACGAGTTTGTCACAAGAGAAGTGATCTCTTTGAAATGTCTAGTTGGCTTGTGTATGTTAAAGAACCCTGTTAGAAGCCGATACTGTAAACATGAGTATTGCGTCGAGGCAAGTTCACTGGTGGAACGAATGAAATTGGGGTATTGGAGTTGTTTTTGTAAGGCTAAATGTGCGTGGAAAGACGTTGTTGTCGATACGTTTATTCAAGGCATCGTCGAAAAAGCACCGGAAGACGCTACGTTCGCAGAGGTCGAAGGGAAGAAAGTTATTAGATATTTAGATGAAGACAAAAAAGAAATCGGAGATCGAAAAATCACAAAAATGATTGAAGTCATTGACGTGGAGGAAATAGTCAGCTCGGAAAATCAAGAAAAACAAAATAGCAGTGACACCGAGGTAGAAATTGTCGGAACGAAGGTCAAAAAAGAAAATATCGAAATCGAAAAGATAAACAGTTCGGAGACAAATGAGATTGACGAACAATGGAACGAGAAGAGAGAGGAGATCGAGAAAAATGCAAAATATGAGGAGTGGTGGAAAGAAAGCGAATTTGTGGACGTAAATTTAGAGGAAATTGAATTGGAAAGTAAAACAAACGATGATAAGCCGAAGATGGATATATGCGATGAGCAAGAATATTTGAACGTGTGGAATGATAATATCCCTAATGAAGTGCAAGAAGATATATGGAAAAGACGCGGACAAACCTGCGAAGACATTTTTGTGATTAAAAAGACTTGCCTTAATATGGTGGGAAATAACTGTTTGGTCACACCATTGTTTAAAAATTCAGATGATAAGAAAGAGGATGTCGAGGAAGACTTTTTTGAGGTGGTAGATTATGATGAAATGTATGATGATTGATTCTATAGTTTATGTAATAAAATTATTAATTATTGGTTTATTATTACCACGTAATGACTAACTTTTTAATTGTAAAAAAAAATAATAAAATAGTATTATTGTATTATAAAGAAAAACATATTATTAAAATATTATTAAAATTATAATTATTTACAAGAAGATTAAGATATAGTATATTTATTATAAAGAATCAATAATTGTAACAGTTAAGAAATCAACTTGTTTTGACTGTTATACTAAAAAAACAACACAAATTATTAGTTACTTTTTGATGACAGAGAATTTCGAATAAATTCCACCGAAAACTAATTTTCAATTTGAGATATATTGCGTTGACAAAAAGTACAATTACGGGGATCATTTTTTTTTTTATAATTTTAGTATTTTTTTCGAATAAAATGATTTAATTCGGCAATTTTGATAACTCTGTGATTGTTCTCATAAAAAATAAAAGAAAAACAGACAAGTGGTGTGTTTTGTTGAACAATTTTTCAACATAATTACCCATTGTTTTCGAAACTAAATATATTCATGTGATAACTCTCAATTCTTCATTTGATTTTTAAAAGAACTATAATTAAACCATTAATTTAATAAAAACTTACAACATTATATTAAAATGGGTATGTGTTATTTTAAAGTTTCCAAAACTATAATTACTACAATCAGTAAACCCGAAATAATAAATGAAGTTACTGTAATAAATATATACCAATCTTGTACAAATCCACAAAGAAATCCAATTAATCACTTTATTAATAAAAATAAATTAAAAAAAACTATACCAAGTAGCAATGTTGTGTAAGAAAAAAAACAAAAATCAAAAGAGTAAAAACAGAAAACTGAAAAAAGCATAATATAGAGATATGAAAGGATTCTTCCTTTTTTGTATGTTTGTTGTGCTCAATGCTAACTTTGCAACAACACCGGAGGGTGCTCAAGCTGCGCCAGCAGCCGCACAGGGACCAGTTCATTTAGCGTCCGATAGTAAATTAAGCCGTGTCGATGAATCAGTGATGAAGAAAAGAGATTACTCCCTTCACAAAGTATCGAAATACCACGCAAAGATCAACAACAGAATTATGAAGACGATCGCAACAATCCAAAAGGCACAAGCGACTATTAAAACTAAAGCAGCTGATTTGGCGAATAGACTTGCCGCGTATGGGACTCGTAAGATGAAGAGTGAACTTGAGTTGTATGAACTTGTCGACGATGACATGAAGAAAGAATTAAAACCGATAGTCGATAAGGTCCTCCCACAGATTAAAGCGAAAGAAAACGAGATCAGAGAAGGTGCTTCGAAATTGATGGACACTTTCAGCGCACAACTCCAAAAGACTCTTGTCGGATTACAAAAAGCTAAAGAAGTTGGTGACAAGAACGACAAAGCTGCTCGTATGGGTATTCATGCCGTTGGAGACAATATCGTGAAAGGCATTGATGCTTCAAAAGGAAGTGGGGCTTTGGCCTCAAAGGACGCTCGTAAGATCAAGAAGACTGCCAAAGACGCCCAGTACAAAATAGCGCACCAATTCCATAAGGCACAGAGAGAAGAAAAACAAATTCTGAGATCAGCTCGAACTCTTTTGAAAACTATGAGACATAAAGGAAAGGGTTTCATGCGAAAATTGAGAAAGACTGCAAAGGAGGAGTATCGACAAATCTTTAGAAAGGCTAAAAAGGCGATGTTGAAGATCATCACAAAGAAGTCGAATTCCTTTGGAGTTGACTATTAAAAGTAAGTTGAGTCATGTTAATTTCTTCGAGCTTTATTATAATACAATAATAGTATTATTATAATATAAATAATATAGTATTTTTGTCTAGTATATTTATTATAATATATAAAATATCTCTATATATTATAATATATTATAATAATATAACTTCAAAGTTAATTAGACGGTCGTTGTGTAGCTAATTTCTTTTTTAGATCGTCGACTTGAGCTTTCAGTTCAACTTCTTTGGTGTCACACTTTTTCAATTCACTGTTGAGATAATCCAAACGTTGATCAACACACATCTCAGCTTCAAGCGGATCTTCTTCTTCTAAGTTTCCTTCATTCAACTTGTAAACGACATCATCATCCTCCACTAAAGATAACTCTTTCTTGACCATCTCATTCTCATTTTTTTGTGATATTAATTTTTGACGACTCAAATAAAGGCCTTGCAACTCTTTCATCTTCTGATTGTACTCGACCATTTCTGGTGTTTGTTTCTGAAGTTGTGCGGCCATGAACTCTTTTTTTATAGTTTTAGGTTTCTTTTACTTGACAAAATTTTTGCTTGCATTTTTGAATATGAATATGTATTAGTTTTTTGTTATTTGTTATGGTACATAATTAGTGTAATACTCTTGGTTCAAGACTAGTTTTATTATAGTTTGTTTTTAGTTTATTTTTATTGTATTTTTTTAATTAAAAATTAATTAAAATGTCGTAATTTATAGTATAAAAATTTGAGTTTTTATACTGAATTATTATTGAATTACAATTCTTAAAAACAATGAAAACAACAATTATCACTTTTTGTTCCATCATTTCCATAAGTAATAAAATGAATAATAAAATAAACCAATTTATATCATTTCAATGAATTTCTAACGACTTTCTTTCAATTTTGTCAATTTCATTTATTTTTGTTATTAAAAACATAAATTCACATTTAAACGGAACAAACTTGGAAATGGATATGGCAACGGATTTAAAAGTAAACACTAATGTCCTTGAAAACTTTGATTCTTCGCGAGTCGAGGAATGGCTCGAATTGTGTAACTCTACCGACGATTTTCATTTGGTCATCAACAAGGAAATTTTACAGAATATGTTGGCTGCGTTTACAACGAAAATCAACGAAGACACTAAAAAGTATTACTGGGAAGAGATGAATAAAAGGATCGACGCATACGACAAACTTTACGCGGAGATGGACAAGAAGAGACCAAATGAGAATTCCGTCCGCGAACAAACTCGGATGGAGAAAGTCTTCAATGAAAGATTTCAGAAGGATGCCGCTGAGCTTCAACAACAGATCGAGGCCCTTGAATACGAGTTAAAGAAAAAACCTAAAGAACTCGAGGAACACGTCTCTGCCGAAGATGCCGAGTTTTACATCAATAAATTACAACAAGACATCGCTGTCTTACAAAACGAGAAACAAGAGTATGAAGCAAACACAGACCCTTTAATTCAGAAACACAATAACCTCATACCTGAGTATAATAGAGTCTTTGTCCAATACAACAAACTCAGAGAAAGAGTTTACCAACTCCCCGAATTCAAACAAGAATAATACCTCTGTGAACCATTATGATTATCGACTTTACTGTTATTTTTAGATTCTTTATTATATATTATATTAATAAATTAATTAATATTATATTAATAAATGTATTAATATTATATTAATAAATGTATTAAAATGGGTAATAGTTAATTAAATTAATAATTCAATGTTATTGCTTAGAATTGAAATGGTTTTGAGATTTCATTCAATAAAAATGTTCTATTTATTTAAATTATAAAAAAACGTCAAGAAAAAACACAAAAAAAGTGAACACAATTTGTTTTACAGAATTGAACTTGGACTGGTATTGTTTAATGGAAGGGACAGCTTGGGGAATACTCCAAAACACCGTTGGAAATAAACCATCTATTCCACTTTATGATAGAACGTGCATGTTGGGAAGAGGAAATCCAGCGATGAATATAACGACATTGACTATTTCATCGCAACACTTCATGATACAAGCGAAGGAAGACGAAAAGAAAGGGGAGAAGAAATACTCGTTGACTGATACATCAACGAATGGGACTTATCTGAATCAAACTGTTGTTGGGAAGAATGGGAGAGTTGAAATTCAGTTGTATGACGAAATCAGTCTGTTGTCACCAATTAAAGAGAAAGAGTCGGCGTCATATATGTTTCTTGTGTTTGACAAATTAAAGGAAGAGGAGGAGAATGGGGGACCCCAGAAGAAATACAATTTTGGGAGATTAATTGGGAAGGGCTCATTTGCGCGAGTCCGGGAAGTGACAGACAAAGCGACGAATAAGAAATACGCGATGAAAATTATTGACCGGAACAATACGTCTGTTGTAAGCGACGAGAAACAGATTTTTAACGAGTTTGAAATACTCAGAAAGATGTCGCATAAGAATGTTATAGGGCTTTATGATGTTTTTTTAACGCCATCAACACTGTATATTGTCTTTGAATTGTTTGTTCTATCTCTTCTTATTGTTGGATTGACGAATAACAGTATAGGGTAGACGGGGGTGATTTGTTCCATCTGTTAGAACAGAAGGGGTGTTTGAATGAAATGGAGTGTCGACTTGTGATGCAACAACTGCTCCAGGGGTTACAATACCTCCACCACAATCACGTCATTCATAGAGATATTAAACCCGAAAACTTGTTGTTGACAAAGACAAACGTTGTGAAGATCAGTGACTTTGGACTGAGCAAATCTATCAACCACACGGTAGCAAAAACGTGTTGTGGGACACCTATGTACGTCTCTCCGGAAGTGTTGAGTGGGAAGGCTTACGACGAGAAAACGGACGTGTGGAGTGCCGGTGTTGTGTTTTACACCCTTGTGTGTGGATTTCAACCATTCACAACGACAGAGAAAGACACAGGGAATCGGGAGTTGTTTGATCGTATTGAAAATGGCCATTACAAATTTCCATCACCGTATTGGGACAACATCTCGACTGAAATTAAAAACTGCATTCAACTCATGCTTACAGTGAATCCAATGAAGCGCCCGACCGTCCGCGAATGTCTGTTATTCCCATTCTTTTCGGGGAAGAAGAGAGAAAGAGGTGATTTTTATCAACCTTCTCCGAAGAGATATTACACTGACTGATTTGTGTTTTATCAATAGTTTACTATTAATAAAATAATAATAATAACTTATAATAATAACTTATTAATAGTAAGTTACTAGTTTATGAAATTTGTTTTTCAAAAGGAAACAAAAGTTATATTTAATTTACTATATCATTAATTCTGTGGCATTTTGGTTAAGCAGACCTTATACCAATCTTCAGCCTCCTTTGTCGATCTGAAAGTGATTTGAACATCGACAGGAACCTTTTTGGAGTCTTTGGTGTTCATTAAAACCTTTTTCTCTTTGACAGTGAGGGGAGTCGATTTGTTGATTAAAAAGGTCCACTTGACCTGTGACTTCTTCTTTTTCTCAGTAATTCCAACCATAGTCAAATTCTCATCTCCACTAACTACAACCACTTTGAGGGTATACGCCTTTTTCCCGATTTTTACACAAAGTTCGTTGTCTAATATAACAATCCCAATAAAATCAAAGCCAGTAACCGTATCGCGGAGGTGCTCCATCTTCTCTTCTCCTTGGTGAGCTTGCCTTTTCTCATCTAAATAAGCTATTAAATAAACCAAGTCTTCATACACTTTAACGATGTTGTCATGTTCGACACAACAGTCTGGTGTGTTGTGTGCAAAAGAGTCCACTGTGGGTACAAACCGTCTGAAACGCTCCATAGGCTGTAAAACTACCTTTTCAATGCAAAACCCTTCTTTGTCATACTCTTTCAGCTTCTTGGCAATATCACTGTTCTCCCTCAGTCGCCTGACTTTCTCAAGCTCCACATCTATCCAATACCTCTCGATAATTTTCATCGAGTCGACATCGTTCAAAATGTTACTGAAAAGATATGAGACGTCTGCGTCGAATTCTTTGTTCTTCTCGATTAGCTCTTTCAACGCATTTTCAACACCGATGTGGAATTGAAGTAACTCATCAGCACATGGAAATGCCAACTTGGACTCCATAGATATCTTGAACAATTGTGGGATGACTTCTTTCACCAATTTTGTGAAGACTATATTAAACGCCTTTTGTGATTGATAGAAATCAGATAAACATACACTCCGCTGTTTCGCTTGTGCATTCACTTGGGAGACAAACGCGACTTGCTCTTGATTGCCTTTTGCTGATATCACTTCCCCAACGGAGGGCATCTTCATGTTGCCAAGAGAGAGTCTGTCGCTCGAGTCCACTGATTTTGTTATATTTGCAGCATCTGGAGGCTCTTTCTCGTCTATTTGTTCGACTTTCAAGTCCTTTTCTTTTGGTGGATGGATTTCTATAATCTTTGTTGAAGTCTTTGGCAACTCTGTCCCCATTTCTTTGATAACTTCCTTTGGTGGTTCTTGAGGATGAGTCTCAATACTAGTGTTCTCTTGTAACTTACTTCTCTTATTTTCTTCATTATGAACTTCTTGAAGAATGCGTGGGGTAATCAAAGGCACGGATGGTTGCTTTGGTAGAGTCATTGGTTCACCGTAATGCTCGGCTAACGACTCAACAGAGAACCCTCTCATGATCATAGCATTTCGTTTCTTCCTCTCTCCATTGATTTTTCGTGGTGTTCGAATAGAGTGTGATGCACGCATATTGATGTCTCGTTTGATGTCTTCTGTATTCTCGATTCTCTCATTTTGTGGTTCAACATTGTCTTCTTCTTCTTTGCTGGTGAGTCTCTTTTTAGTGATGTCCATAGCCTTTTCCATCGTTTTCAACTCTTCATTATTTCCTTGGAGCGTTGCTTGGACACTTCCAATTAACGATTTTTTCGCTTTATAATTTTCAGTTCGTTGAATTGCTATATTCGTCGTGTTTTCCAGCAGTCCAGTGGCATGGACCTTTTTAAGTTGTTCTTCGACGTTATAGACAGAGAGTTCACTCATGAGTCCATCGTCTGTAATTGCTTCCATCAATGTGTTCATTAGATACACTTGCATTCTGTCATTCATCTCATTGAAATTTGCAAAGAGTTCTGTCAGTGCAAGAGTGAACCCAACTTCTCTGAATCGAACCACTGCGCTTTTGATTTGAATAATACACGAGATGACAGATAAAGCATCTTCTAAAGAATTCAAAGTGTGGGGTTCGACGGGGGGATACTTCATACAATCAACGAGTTGAATGATTGTAGGAGATGACGCAATCGCAGGAATCGCATTCTTACTTCGGCACATCAACGATAAACACCTTAAACACTCCGCGACCGTCTCTCCAGTCGTTCCAGTGAGTAGTCCTTGTAACACTTCTGCCTTAATCATGAGCAAACAAAACGTATCGCGTTGCTTCTCATCGGCATTAACTAACAAATGAGCTATCAAGTGACACGCCATGCCAACAGCATCATTCCCACAATTTAACATCTCTTTGATCTTATCAGATCCACCCTCTCTGAAGAACAAACTGCTCGCACCTGGTAATACCAATAATCTGCAGATGATGGGGTATACCGCTATTTGGAGGGGATCATACATTTGTAAGTGTTTAGTTAAGCCCGGTAACAACACAACATAATTTCCAAGCGCGTCGTCTGCTTTCCCTTCGCTCGGGGTTCTTGGGCTTCTTGGTGATCTCTGGCCTCCCAGTCTATCCCCTGAAGCAGCTGAAACGAGTCCTCCAATGACGTGTATTGTTGCTGTTAGAAAGTCTTCTTGGTCCAGGAGTGGTAAGAGTAAGTCGGGGATTTGGTGGTTAGTCTCTACAACGCGTTTTGACAACATTTCTGTCTCTGAGACTAATATGAGGAAGTTTAACACCGCGTCGATGACATCCGGGTTTTGTTTGGAGAGTAAATTGGTGTATAAAGTTGGGTTGACTTTAGTTAAGAAAATTTCAAAACTTTGATTCTCAAGAGCCTCCGACATGATGTCTAACCCTTGCTCGGCTTGCTCTGGGGTCCCTTCGATTAGACTACTTATCTTCGCGAGTAACGTTTCTTCTTTCGGTTGTAATGGCTCAAGCGCATATTTCAGGTATGTCATTTGTTTTTTATAAGATGCGACTGTTTTTTGGAAGTCTTCGGGATTCTTAGTTCAGTCAAACTGTAATACAAGTATACTTCCGTAATAGCATTTTAAGTTTTTTTACAGAACCAAAAATTCCTTCCCGATTTTAGCTTCTCTTCAACAACGAAACTTACCACAACTCAAATTTCTTAGTTTGAAAGTTCATGCAAACTCTTTCAAAAAAGATCTCTTCCCAACACTCTTTTGTTCATTTATAGTTTTTTGTACCATAATATCTAGTTCGATGAAGATAATTACGTTTGAAGAATTTCAATAAAGTTTGGAATGTAAGTTATAATTTACAAATTTTAAACTGTAACAAAAAGGGGGGTTCACTATTAAAGCTCGGGTAATCTAATCATTCGGTCAACCAACTCTTTTTGGTTTTGAGAACAGTGGTTCGATTCCTGCCTTGTCATCAATAACGTGTTTTATAAATAGAAATAAACAAATAAAACTCTAAAAATAGGTTTATTTAAATTTCTTAGTAATTATTTCGTTTGTTGCATTAAAACCTCAAAAATGAACTTATAACTAATAAATCATTTTGGAGGTTCAGCCCTCAAAGAGAAGTCGAGCAAGTTTGCGTCGTCGAGCGGGAGTGTGTATATCTCGCCGGTGAAGAACTCTATGAGTGATTTGTTTTCCTTATATCCATTTCCAGCTGCGTAAGTCCCTAACACGTCTATCACAGCTCCTATTCTTGTATACCTTCCAAGGTTAATCATGGTATCCCTTTTATTTGATTCTTTCTCTCCAACGCCTTTATACATCCCATCCATCCTTTCAAGTTGATATTCTATATGTTAAACCATTTATATTACATCTCAAAATGGAAAACAAACGGAAGTCAGGCACACAAGGTGGTTGTACAGTTACACTTGCATTAGTACATTTCACTGTATGTTCCACATCTCTTAAACTGGCATAAATGATCCACTCTTTCTTCCCAAGTTTGTTCCACGTCTTTTCAAGTCTTCTGACTGCTTGGTGCTCAATACCTTCCATCGCCCTCACAAACGAATTGAAATTCTTCTTTCGAAGTAACTCGGTTGCTAAACTGAGAACAGCAAAGAGACACTGTCGGCGCCTTTCTTCATCTTTTTCTCTGACTATTTGATATGCAATCCAGAGTGAAAAGAGTCTTCCCCATTGGACATAAGTATTCACTACAGAAACATTACGAGTCTTATTGTCTAAGAAGACGTAATAATCATGTGGATTGATTTTGGAAAGGAACATTAATTCGACGTTAATGAGTTGCTCTGGAAGCATTGAAAGACATTTGGGGTCACCGATACAAACGTCCTCAAAAGCTATTTCTTGGTCTTCTTGCCCAACTAACCGCCTCTTTTTTATCGAAATGATCCCATTTGCTTCAAAAACCGTTGCAATGGCTTTCTCGGCTTCATCGACGGGACTTAAAAGAAATTGTGAGTTGGAAACAAGCCCTTTGAGGAACTTGACAAACTCCATTGTCGCGAGACGAAGACTTTGGTCTGAGAATTGGTCGCTTCTTGTCGAGAGCCAAGTTGTGAGGATCTTGACGTAGCTTGCACTCATCTTCTCTCGCAACGAATTTTCGGATTGAAATGCGTATAAGAAGTTCTCTATAATTGCTTCAAGTACGTTGAGACCGTCATAGAGTTGTTGGTATACTAAGATCTGTTTTATAAACTCTTTATTCTGGACGAAGGTCAGTAACTTGAGTATATCTGTGAGATTTGAGACATAAAGATCTTTACCAACGACTTGGACGGTTTTCTGGTTTAACATTCGGAACGAATTCATTTCAGTTGGGAAGTCTGAGATATTAAAAACGTGTTCGAGGGGTGCCGATATGGCTAAAACACTTTTTAAAATGTCTGTGGGTGTTTCTAAGTTAGAAATAGAGTCTCTGTCGTGCTTAATGAGGAGACTAGGGTTTCCTGAGTCATTTGGTTTCTGTTGATCTTCATTGTAATTTTGACTCGATGGCAAAACACCATCATTTGAGTTCATTTGAATAGAAGGACTTTTGGAATCTTGAGGCTTTGGAGATAATTGGTCGAAGTAGCCTTCCGGGTTTGATTTGTCATGGGGATGCTTTGAAGGAAAAAAGATGGACAAGACCGTCCGATGCTTTTGCTTTTTCTCGTCTTTCTTGTCAAGCTTCTTCTTCTCCTTCTCTTCCTTTTTGCGCTGTTTCTCCTCCGCTTTCTCTTTCTTCTTTTGCTGTTTGTCTTTGTCTTTTTCTTTGTCGTCTTTGAACTCCTTCCCACTCTTCATGAATTCTGCAAAAGTACTTTTTCACAAGTTCACGGAAACTTGGAATTCTATGGTGGAAATCTCTATTTTCTGAAACTTTGACGATTTGTCAATTCAACCTTTTTTTAGACTTTTGATTGTGTCAAAAACAAGTTAAATGACGGGATACTATTTGAAACAAGTAACTACACTATTTATAGTGGATCACTCGTATAGCTTATTCTACTATAAAGGTGGTTTCTTTGAATTATTGATGTGTTAGTATGGTTTTACTTACTGTAACGGGTTTAATTTGAGTTTTTTAAGCACTTTATTGTAATTACTCTTACTAATATTAACTAGAAACAAAAACTGAATTAGTAACTGTTTTTGTTGTTATTAGTTCTAATTATTTATATAATAATAATACCAACAAGTTAAAAAAAATACAAAACTTAATAATTCACACTATTAATTATTGTTTAATTAATAATTCTCATTTTTCACAAAATAAACTCAAACTATAAAATATAGTTTTCTATAAATGACTTTATTAATTTACAATTTTTTAAAATATTGAGTATGGTAAATAATGATAGTACTTTTATTATTTTAAAGAATTATTTAATTCATGAGGAAATAATTTTATATGCGATATAAGAGGGTTTAGAACTTGTTATTATAATCATGTCGAACAGACTTTTCCAGTTACTTACATGCAATCAGACGCCCGAAGTTGCACAACAGCAAGTTGCGTTTCAAAATCAGAGACTTAATCAGACACTCCCGCAAGTCATCAGTATAATTCAAGCCCCGGAAGTGTTACAGAACATTGGACTTTTAAATAAAGTCTTAATTTTCTTTAAAAATTGTTTGACATCCAAAAACCCTGAGGTGGTAGCACAAAAGAAAAGCGAATGGAATTCATTTCAAAATGATGTGAAGCAGGGGGTACACAATTTACTGATACAATACCTACTCCAAGGCCCCAAAGAGATTTTTAACAATTTATCGGAAGTCATAGCAGTTATTGCGTCTTATGATATACCTTCACTGGTGTGGCCTGATTTGATCGATGTTTTAGTGAATGATACAAACACAATCAGCATACAAAACGCATGTTTGAAGATATGCTCATTACTCTTCGAGAAAATCGACGAACATATTATGCAGAGTTATCTTCCAAAAATACTTTCACGACTCACAGCAGACATGAACAACACACATATGTACTTAACGAAGTTAGAAGGGATCAAGAACTTATTGAATTACAGAGCGTTCTCCTACACCCACTTTAATAACATTTTTGATATCATTATAGTGATACAGCCAATTGACACTGAAGAATCATTGAGTCTCAAAATTGAAGCACTTGATATTATCGTCAACAAGCTCTATGATAAATTGACAAGTCAAAACCAACGAATCACTGAGTTCTTAATTAACGCTGTCAATAAGTTTGGAAAAGACCAAGACTTCTTAAAAAAGGTATACGATGTCTGGAACACCATAGGGGAAGTTGAAAGTGAACCTGAACGAACGAGAAAGTCTCAAAACATCATGTTAGAATCGTTGAGTGTTCTCTTCAAACAAATTTTGGAGGTCATTCAGTTGTTTGGCAATGATATAATAGAAGACGACGATGATGAAGGTGAAGATCAAAACAATGTGATTTACTCTGCACAATCAATTGTGATGAACCAAGTGATTATTGGGAAGGACGGGTTTGCGAAAGAGGTACTGACCCTGATAGCACAGTTTCTTCAACAGAATGAACCTGGCAAGCAGTACATAGGATTGATTTTGTTCTCCGCTGTATTAGAAGGGGGGTGTTCATTAGAAGCAATTGTTAAACAATTAATAGTACAATCAATTCGATTGTACACAACAAGTCAAGTCTCTCTAGTCAAATTGGCAGCTTCAAAGAGTGTCATTAAAGCAATGGAAAACGTTCCACAGATTGTCGACGACGCTTTGGTCGATACGTTACTCCAAAGCGCAATTGTTGGGTGCAAGTCGAATAACACGGCTTATGTTGTGTCGTCGTGCTTAATCATCGGGTATGTCTACAAAACCGTTGAGATTCCAAACGCTCTTAAAAAAGAAGTCCAAAATGTGTGTCAAATTTTGTTACAGTTCTTGCGAACGGACGACGAAAGAATACAAAGGACAGCACTCCAATCATTAAAACGAGTCATTTCAAATCTTGATAAAGTCCAAGGGGAACAGATAGCAGCTGGGTGTATGCAGACTCTATTGGAAGGGATACCAACTTTAGAGAACCAAAAGAAGATGAAAGCGATTGGTATATGTCTTGAGATATTGGGCAGTTGTTACGAGAATTTGGCGCCATATATAGTGAAGACTCCGGACCAATTTAAACTCCAAAACAACATGCAAGTTCTGTTACGATATTTGAGTAACACTGATACATACGACTCTTCTATGAAAGCTATCATCTGTTTGGCGTCTGTGCTTGGAGAAAAGTTCTCTGTATTTATCAGTCCAGTTGTTTCACAATTGATTGTATTGATGAAAGACTTTTCACAGAGTGAGATCATTGGGGAGACGTGTAACATCATTGAACAACTGAGTATAGCGTCGAGAACTGCGATGATACCGTTTGTAGAACCTTTGTTGGGTCAACTTATTCAAGCACTCATGGCCCCATCAATGGACTATAAGATCAAGTTTAAAGTGATCAGAGCTATTAGTGGGTTAGCCCTTGGTGTTGGATACCAGAACTTTAGTAAATACACGGAGAACGTGTTACAGATGTTACAACAAATCACACAGAACTTGTTAAATATCCAAATCGATCTGAATGATGAAGACGGTGCCGAATTCTTTGAAAATATGATGGAAAGTGTTTTGGTGTGCTACACAAGACTCTTTAAAGGAGCGAATCAAACTGTTTTGAATCATATGGTGTTGCCTGTACAATTGACACAAAGCATATTTGACGTGTTAGGAAATGGCTCTGGACATGTCGACTCCGATACTATTTATTGTGCCATCTGCTCGTTCTTCATGTGTTTGTCGGAACTGCAGTTTATCAACCAAAACCCTACTTTGAAACAACAGATCTTCAATCCAAAAGTTCTTAGTGTTATCACCTCATGCCGTAATAACACAGAAAACCCCGAAAAGGCAGTGATTGTCAATACGTTGTGTCAAAAGCTTGGGCTGTGATTGATTTCTTTTTATTGTTAAGATGAATAAGGACATCATTAAGTAATAGTTAATTAATAGTAAAATATTGACAGTTATATCATCTGAAGTGCTATTATACGTGAGATCAAGAAATTACTCTCTCCACATAAGGCATTAGGTATACCTTCGTAATCGAAGGACTGTTGTTCACAAAAGTTCTCGTATTCACTCCCTTTCTTCCATATAAAGATGTCACGGAACCCCATCCAAAAGAGCCATTCCCACGTCTCTGAACCCAATCGAAAGGCATCACGCTTCCGCTCATTCTTGATCACAAATTTCTTCATGTCTGCTACCCGCCCATTTGATTCTAATGAGAACACAAAAGCGTCAGAGTCGTCGATAATACACGAGCGCTCGATTGTAGGGTTGACATAACCACCAAAGACATTGTTCTTTGTATCTTTTATGACAAAGACGACATTCTTTCTATTCAACACTCGTTGCCCAAATACACTACTGGACTTTGCCCAATCATCACTATTGGAATCAAAGACTACCGTCCCAACTTTCATCTTCGTCCAATTTTCAAGTTGAGCAATTTGTGGCTCTGTGATGAAGGCACCGATACGCTCCTTCTCTTTTCTTACCATATTAATCTTGGAAGATAACCGCTTCTCTGATGTCTTTAACATACGGTCGACTAAATCATACGTCTGTGTGCGCGAGAGTTGATAACCACATCCTAAGACTATATCTTTCTGAGCAGACGCTATGTGAAGAACACGACGAACCAAATTGGACTTCTTGGCAGTCAACTCTCCATTATTGAAAGCCAGAAGAACATAATCAAAGATCGGTTCACCTCTGTGGTGTCGGATAACAAACTCAAATTCTTCATCAGACATCTTCTTGATCTTGTCAATGTTCGATTTGTCGTCGTCGACTAATTTAATCAACTTTTTTGACTCATCAATCAGCTCCGGTGTGATGTTATAAGCATTCACTAACTCGGTCTCGACTTTCTCTGTTAACACGTGTTTGTCTAAAAAATCAACAACCAAATATGGACTCCCCATCCCTTGAAATTGCATGATGTTCTTCACATCCAATGCTTCAAATACCATGTCTCTTAAAAGTTCAAAACACTTCCTAACCCTGCCATCAGGTATCGACGTTATGTTCTGATTGAATTTGTCCGCTAACGTCTTATTAATCATTTCTATTTTCAAGTTTTCGGCCTTTCATTTCTTCTATTTTTTGTTGTGTGTTGTATTTTAAAGTATTGGGGTCTTACCTTTTGATCTTTTTGGCTGTTCAAACTCCACAATATAGTAACGAATTTCTAAAAAGTAGTTTAATGAAAGTAAAACATTCTATTTGAATAAAACTTGTTTGTAGTTTCCTCTTATTAACATGTATCATTTATTATAAAAAAATTATATAAATATTATAATACATTGTAACAGAGTTTTTCTCAACTTCTTTTTTTTATTATAAATTATTTTTATAGTTTATTTTGACATTAAAAAATAATATTATTAATTAATAAAAAATCTAAGTATAGAATTAATTATTAATAATTTGCTTAACAACTAATAGTTCAACTGAACCACTAAATTTAATAAAGAACTCAACATACAGCATCTGGACTTATTTGGTTATTTGTCCTTTGGCATATTTCACAACCCACTCGTTGTATCTGTCAAATGAATTTTCCTGATAACATTTCTTGAACAAGAAGAGCGGGTTTTCTGCCACTCTCTTTAACATACTCTTCGACCCACCATACTCGATCACTTGCATCTTCAAAGCCGTCCAAACTGCTTCGAAGTAATGATATTCAAGGCTCTTCATTATTTTGTCATCCCGTTGTTGTAACAAGTTTTGTTTACTCATAACTTGTTCACTTAAAGTATCTACACTACATCGCAGTTTAGTGTTTTCAACACGCAATTGTCTCACTGCTATTTCATTCTCTCTTGCTTCATCCTCGCCAGGCTCACCGACACTCCCACTTTCTCCAATTTCCTTTCTGACGTAATCGTTGTAATCATCTTGGATGTGCTTTTTCTCCATTATTTCCTTTTCAAGACGTTCTTTAAGACTTTCAAGTTCTGTTGTTCGCTCGTTCAATGTGTCTTCCAAGTTCTTTTTCTCACTTTCTGTCTTTCCGATGACACTCTGGTTGTTGTCTTTCAAGTTTTCTATAAGCTGCTCTTTGTCACTTAATTTGTTGTTTAACTCGTTGATAGTGTCTTTCAGGTCCCAATTCGCCTTTTCCAATTCGCTTTGTTTCTGTCTCAAGTCTTCGATGGTGTTGTTCATCCCACTGCGCGTGTTTTGAATACGACTAACAGTCTGATCGGAATTTGCACGACTTTTTACAGTACGCAGTTGCTTCTCAAGGTCGTCAATTTTCTCTTTGAGTGTTGTGACCTCTTGTTCCTTCGCAATATTCTCTTCGCTTAAGGAAGTAAGTTCTTGTGTGTCAACTTTGCTCTTCTCTAATTGAGTTTTTAAGAGAGCGACCATCCCTTCAAACCCTTCTATTTTCTCTTGCAATTGAGAGACTTCATCTTTCTTTTGTTCTAAAGAAGTTGAGAGGTGTTGGTTCTCCTTTTTAAGAGTCAAAACTTGTTGGATGTTGTCAGTGTTATTTGTTCTTTTGTCATTCGACAGTTTTTCAATTTCATCATTCAGACTCGAATTTTCTTCTTCAAGTGACTTCTTTGCATTTTCACTCTCAGTCAACTCTTTTTCAAGACTTTTCAGTTGTTCTTTAAGTTTGTTAATGTTCTCTTCTGATTGGACCAAAGAGTCTTTGACATCTTTGTGTTGTGAAAGCTGATCGCTCAACCTCGAATTTTCAGCACGCAATTTATCAAGTTCTGCATTGAGAATAGATGATTCGCTAACAAAACCAGACACCTTTGTTTTTAAATCGGAAATTTCTTCTTTTAATTTCTTATTTTCTTCATTCAGTGCTTCTATTTGATTTTTCAGAAGTACTGCGCTACTATCTCCACCGGCTATTTTCTGTGTTAATGCAGTAATCTGAGTCTCAAAATTCACTTTTTCGGCTGTAACTTTCTGAAACTCTTCTTCTTGTTGCTGGATCTTTATATTCAATTCCTCAATCTGTAAATTGACCGACTTAATGGTTTTGTCCTTCTCTGAATTTTGTTGTTCCAAAGTATGTTTTTCCAAATTGACCTTTTCGAGTTCTTCATTCAGCTTTTGCATCCCATCGCTGCCATTTGCCATGTCGCTCATCACCTTTGCTTTTTCATTTTCAACCTTTTCGACTTTGTCTTCAAGTGTTTTGATTTGTTCTTTCTGGTCTTCAATTTGTTTTTCCAATTTGTTATTCTTGTCGACTTGTTCTTTCATCTCTTCTTGAATTTTATTCTTTTCGCTTTGAAGATTTTGAATGTCTTCATTCGATTTTGTTATTTCTTCCTTTCCGTCTGTAATTTGCTTCAAAAGATTTTGTTTCTCAATTTCAAAGTCGTTTTTCATCTTTTCATTTTGTTGTGTGTTCTCTTGATTAACCTTTTCAAGTTGTGTCTTCAAACTTTCAACTTCTTTCGACACCTCGTCGAATGTTGTCAAATTCGTTTCTTTCTCTTTTGTTAAGATGTCAATACGCTCATTCATTTTCGTGTTTTCCTCATCCTTTTCTGCAATGCTTTGCTTCAATTCCTCAATCTTCAAATTCAATGTTTTCAAGTTCTTCTCGTTCGTTTCGTCGGAGGCTTGCTTCTCCTTTTTTACACTTTCAAGTTCTTCGGCCACCTTCTCCATTCCTTCGTTGCAATTCGCCTTATCTTCTCGCATTTTGATTTTTTCTTCTTCAACCTTTTTCAAGCTTTCTTCAAGCTCTGAAACACGTGCGTCCTTCACTTCGCTTATTTTCAAAAGTCTTGTTTTTTCGTCGTTTAATTCTGCAATTGTTTTATTGAGACTTTCTTCTTTCTTAGTTTTGACCATAATACTTACATCCTGGTCTTCAACTTGCTTTTTAAGTTTGTCGATTTCTTCTTGAAACGACTTAAAAGCTTCGTCGTTGAATGGCAAAGTGTCTTCTTCTGTTGTTTGCTCTTCTGTTTTTGAGTCTGTCCCCGCACTCGTATCGTCTTCCTTTTTCTTGTCTTTCTTCCCTTTCATCTTTTGAAAGAAACTCAGCCGCCTTTCTTTCTTGTCTTTGCCGCTTTTGTCTTTCTCCTTCTCTTTATGAGGTTCAGCTTCCTTTTCAACAGGACTGTCTTCCGCTTTGGCGGGAGTCTCAGTGCTGTCTGTCGTAAACCGTTTGCCAGAACCCGCTCGGGACATTCTTCGATTCAAAAAATTTGATTTCCGCAGGGGTTCTTCTTGACCTTTTTCTGTGCTTATTTCTTCTTTGATTTCTTCTTTTGGGGGTTCTTGAGGCACATCCTCTTTTGGTTGTTCGGGTTGTTTGTTTTTGTTGTTTTGTTTCGCCAATGTTTCGAGGATACGTCGTTTTTCTTCTTCTTCCTCATCGTCAAGTTGTGGTTCTGTGTCATCTTCTTCTTTTGTAGTAGTTGTGGTCCTTGTAAATTGAGGTTCGGGTTCTGCGACTGGTTGTGTCACACCCGCGCGAGTTCTTCGATTCTTGCCAAGTTGAATTCTCGACATATAATTAATTCATTTTTCAGTTCATAATATGGTGTGTTTGGTAGATATATTACACAACAGCATAATAGACTGTGGTGTTTTTTAATACACTTTTTATTAGTTTCATATATTTATAATACTAAGAATTCCGATATTTTGGTTGTTATTAATTCTTTTTGCATTTCTAAATTCATATAAAACACCCCATTAGCTTAGTTCATGTTTTCTCATAAAATTGTGTATAAATGAATAACATACAAAAGTGTTGAAATTACACGTTTTTTTTTGTTAATTATTTCTTACTATTGATATCAACATAGTTTTAACACGTCCAATTTATTGCATTTGAAGTAGTTATATATAAACTTCATTTTTAATATAATATGGTACATATTATAACAAAGAGTCACCGTTCATCAACGAAAAGAATTGAATAGTAAATTACAAATCAAATACAACATTTCTCATATGATGCGCCCGATTAAATGACCCCAAAGTTATATTGGCCATACCAAATGTGCAGTGATCCGCTTTTGTTGATTGACAAAGGCTTTGTGCAAGTAATGAACTCTGGTAACATGACATAACAAGTTCATCATAATTGTGAATCATCGTATTTTTGATTATTTCTTTCTCCTCTTGTTCCTTCACAACAACTTTTCCAACTTCTTTGATGTGCGTTGGAGATTGTGGTAACACTATTGAAGACAAAGATTCTTCCGACGAATTACTCTTTTTGAGTCTGTAATATCCTCTTCCCAAAAAATTGTCTTTTCCGTTTTCAACTCGATCACTTCTATTGAGTGCGTCAAGCAAATTCTTTTTCCACGTTTTTCTTGATTTTGATGTGAGTTCTTTTAGTACACAGGAATGCAAGTCGACGAAGTTGCAAACGTCGAATCTAAAAGAAAAGAACTCTTGGTCGGGGTTGAGTTGTTTTAAGGACTTTAAGATCCAAAGACAAAGTGTTGTTGCTTTGACTTCTTTCATTTTTGTATCAGTGTTTGATTTGGTGCACAAATAGCAAGTACAAGTGTTCAGTGTCTTGACTTCCATAACTTTTTGGGGTGTGAAGAAAGAAGTTCGCTTTTATAATAAGAAGTCAACCCTCTGGATAAAACAAAGAGCCAAAAATTTTTCGCTCTTTTCCTTATTTTCTATGAATAGCTGTTTCATTTTTCATTTTCATCGTTAAGCTTTTTAATTGAGGCAATTTCAACTTTTGTGTGTTAATTATTTCTTTTTCCCTGAGAATATCCACATGTTTTATATAACCATTTGTTTTGTTAAATCAAGAAGTGAAATGCGCCTTCACCTGATCATTCCTCTGTTGTATTTAACTTACTAATCATTTTTTAACTATTCTATTTTTAATACTATGAAATAAGTATTAAAAATTAATAAGAAATTTCCCCACCATTTTACGTTGTGTTTGTCTATTATTTAATTACTTCTGAAATAATTTACCCGAAAAACAATATTATTTAATCGCAAAATAAAACAAATATTTATTGTTTGAATGGGAAATAATAGAATTAGACTGCAGTATTTTTAGATTTGAGTCTCTTTGTTGTGGTTACAAATAAATATAACAACCCAAATCTCCCGTTTTCACAGATAAAAAAATATTAATTTATATTGGACGGTTTAAAATTTTAAAAATGCGCCATTTAATAATTTGATGGCAACGGGGGCATTTTTACACCTCCAAAAACAGTCATTTATTTTTCTGTTATTTTTTTTTCAAGTTCTAAAGTTGTCTGTTTCCTAAAAAAAGGTCTTTTTTTGTCTCTCCTTTTTATTAGTAACATTTTTTATTATAATTAAAGTTATGAAAACTAATAAAACAACAATACCTTCTCTTATAAATTATTTTTGTCAATTCCCGTTTTTTAAAGTAATAATTACTAAAATTAACAAGAATTCAACACAAAAAAAACTATTTCAGATATAAAATTTGTTTAAAATGTTTTTTAAAACATTTATTTAAAAATTTCTTTTGTTTGATTAAAAAAATTGATTGGTAAATTTACTATAATTTAGTATTATAATACATAGTAAAACGACATAAAAAGAAAAACTAATAATATTAATAAAAAAATAATATATCATTAATTAGCCATTATAATTCTATGTATTAGAAACATTTAATAAGTATTACAATAATTATTCAAATAGTTTTATTAATATTTAAATAATAAAAGGTATTAAAAGAGTTATACACAAGGTTACAAAATAACGACTTACAGATAGTAGTATAAACACAACAAAAGCATATTCAAATGCTATAACATAAGGGTTCAATTATTATGCCTTTATTGTTTTCTTGAGGGTAACCTTGAGGTTTCTCATTCTTCCAGTTCCTTGAGTTCTTCTTCTGAGTGCTTTGTATCCCCAGTTGTATCTTCTCATCTGTGGGTCTGGATATCCGCATGAGGCACATCTCTGTTTTTGCAAATGCCACGCACGATTTCCGCATCTCTTGCAAAGAATGTGAGTTTTGTTGTGTCTTGTTCCTCTGCAGCTTGTTCCCTTAGTCATAAATGTGGCAATTTAGTTCGTGAGGGTTATTCCCTTCCTATGTAATTTTTTATAATACATTTCTTATAATGTTTACTATATTTTTCTGGTTCTTTTTCCCTTATTTTTATTATTTGAATTTTTTGTTTTTTTTCCATCAATTAGTTGTTTTTTTTCTTTACATACTTGTTAAAAAAAATAATAAATCGTTTTTTTTTAATATTAGTTTTTATGCGAAAATTTCAATACGACCTTTCCAAAACTACTATTTGTTGAAATGTTAATTATATAATAAATAATAAGAATGAAATGATACACAAAACACAACGGAAATATAATTAACCCCCAAAATTCCCGATGTATTATGTTAAACAATCTGCCTGTTATTTAAGAAAAAATTCAAAGAGAAAAATAAACAAGTATTTAAGGATACTAAAAGAAGAAAAAGAGAACTTGAAAAGCATAGAAAATCACATATGGGGGCAATACTATCGTTATTCCAAGGTGGTGAGCGTGGCGATAAAATTATTCTTGACTTTGAGAATGTTATCCCAAACGAAAAGGAACAGGACTTGTACTCTCAAGTTGACAAAAGTCTCCAACGCTCGTCACAAGTGTTAGACGAGATAACTAACTACAAAGGATGTGAAGAATTAATACGAAAGGCTATCTCACAAGTGTCTCAAGAAAACGAAGAAGCATGTTGGAAAGCTTTAATACCACGTGTTGACATCCTTTTTAACTTCTACGATTTTTCCAATCAATTAAAGGAAATATTTACTCAAATCATTCAAGTGCTTTCGATGGAAGAAGCAAAGTCATCTCTTACAAACTATCAAGGCCTCTCGAAACAACTTGGTCTTGTCTTGAGCTTTGTGTTGCAATTTGACAACAAGAAGTTGGGCAATTCGTCCATTCAAAACGACTTTTCGTATTATAGAAGAACACTGAACAGAATGAAAGGTGTCAAGAAAGATTATGAAATCAAAATTAAAGACGATGTCGCAAATAAGATGTCGATGTTCTTTGCGTTTTCATCTCCGATGATGAAAGTACTCACAGAGGCGGTCAACGACTTTTCGAAAAATGCGTCCGATGTCGTGAAAGATAACATCAGCGGGTTGTTATGCACTTTGGCGAATGTATGCAACGACATGGTCACTTCACAAACATTTGAGAAGGTCGAAACAAATTTGTTTTGTCTCAGAGTCATGACAGGGAGCATCATCTTGAATGATATTGTGTCGGCGTTTGGGAGTTTTCACAAAAAGACGCCAATACGGGTGAGGGAGTGTATCATGCAATTAAAGAACTACGGACAACAAGACGAACTGATTTGTGAAACTACTAAAAGTCTTCTTGATACATTGAGGTTCACATCAAAACACATCCAAGACCAAGAGACACCTGGGTACATTAAAGCACTCCTCATTTGAGTTAATGTGTTTGTACAAGTCAATTTTGTTAGGAGTTATCTTTTATCGTTTTTAATGGTAAATTTTTATTATAACAATAATACATTTATTTTTATTGAAGAAATAATTCGAATATTTAATTGATCTTTTTAAATAGTATTAAAAGATATTATTAAAAAACATAGTATTAACCATACAATTATTACTTTTATATTTATAAGTAAACTACAATTTATAATATTTTTATTATCATTTTATTATCATTTTGAATTAAAAAATTAATATATTTATTATAAAAATAACTAAAATAGTGTGTTTCATTTTAATAAATAAAATTACTTATTAAAGTATTATAATAGAACTAACTTTATAATTTGAAAAATTATAAGGTTTCGAAGTGTTATTTATAAATATAGAAATAAAAACTATTCAAAAATGACAATTCTTTTGAAACACTTATTCAAGGAAACAACCCGAAAACAAAGAACAGATAAATAAGAAACAAATAATTAAAAAAACATACGAATTAGTAGAATTGCTAATAATTTTCAATTTGTCTTATTTGACTAAAAATTAACAAAAATTCAACTCAAAAATAATATGAGCTTATGTAGTCCTCCTCTCTACAAAATTGGGAATTACATTATAGGGAAGCGATTGGGTGAAGGGTCGACATGTGTTGTACATCTCTGTTTTGACATTTCGACTGGGATTAAATATGCGGTGAAAATTATTAACAAAAGTATATTCAACAATTCGAAAGCGAAAACGCGGATAGATCGAGAAGTCGCCTTTTTAAAAATACTCAAAAGTCGATTTATCATTCAATTGTATCAAGTTTATGAAACATCAACGAATTTATTTCTTGTGATGGATTATATGCCCGGCGGTGAGTTATATGACTTGATATGTACACGAAAAACCATTGACATCACAACTTCTATTATTATTTTTTGTCAACTCATTCGTGCGGTCAAATACCTCCACTCCAAATGTATTTGGTTTGTTCCTTTATATTATAAAAGTTGTTTGAAACATTATAAAGTTATAAATTATATAACTCATATGTAGTCATCGCGATATCAAGCCAGAAAATGTCTTATTAGACTCGACACTGAAAGAAATCAAACTCATCGACTTGGGATTTTCTGTCTATCAAGTCGACGACAAAAAGATTTGCGAATTTAGTGGAACCCCAGAGTACTCCGCACCAGAAGTAATTTCTCGAATACCTTATAACCCTTATATTGCTGATGTATATTCATGTGGGATGGTGTTATACGTCATGTTGTATGGCAAAAGAATGACTCCAGAAAACTACCCAGAAGACAAAGGGATAGGCATTATTCTTCAACAAATGCTTGAGAAAGACCCTGAAAAGAGAATTACTTTGGATGGAGTATTGGATTCTGTGTATCTGGCAGAAGCTTTTAAACACTACACAGACACACCAGTCACATTATATAGCGGTCCTTTGGTCAACACCCCACACCCCGACTTGTTAAATACACTTAACTATATCGTCCCATATTTGCACGTCTCTACTGTAAGAAATTTACTCGCATCTCCAAACCAAAACACGTTGAAAGAAATATATCGAATCATCGAGGCTCAGTACTTTAACACACCAGAAGAGTTCAAATTCTCAAGAACGGGAAACCATTGCAAACTCTTTGCAATACCAGTTGTCGAACAACTCAATGGCACCCAAAAAAGTCTGGAAAAAATAGTTGATTTTTCCAAAAACAATTTTGCAACCGTCAAAAATGTTATTCGTTATTTTTTGGAAGATCTTAATATTCGGAATTCACAGTATCTTGGATTTGAAAATGAAAAGTGCTGCGATTTCAAAATAAAGTATGTGGAAACAGGCGAGGGTGTTAGGGTCGTATTGACAACGAGTCCGGGCGAGCACGGATTTACGGACTTGTGTAGTCTGCTTGATGTGTTGTTAAAACTTAGTTTAGAATAGATTGGAAATAGTTCTCAAGTAACGGAATGTTATTAATTAATTTATTATTTAATTCTAGTTTCATTTTTGTTTTTCGAATAATAAAAATATGAATAAAACAACTATAAATATAGATTTAATTTTGTTTCATAATTAACTTAAAATAGACTCAACCGTCTAATGAAATTATAGTAAAATTTATATCAATTGCTAATAAAACTGGGAAATAACTAAACTTGAAAAAGAAATGAGCAACGTGTTTGTCGATTTACGTTACATCCAAAAGGAGTCGGAAATGGTTCAAAAGAAGTTAGACGAACTCTCCAAATTAAAGACTGAAACACTTGAAATCCCAATTTTGCACGCTTCGGACAGTGTTGAAAAAAGTCTTCAAAACTTCAAGGAGGTATCAGACAATCGATTTGGTGTCATTCTCAAATTCAACCAACTGAAGGAGGAATTGAGTCGATTGCTCGAAAATTTCGAAAACCTCACCGACGACTTAAACAACGAGCAACTTGACCTTGTTCAGACAATTAACTCGCTAAAGCAAAAGTCACTCAGTGCAACAAGTGGAAAAGGTTTCACTCATCCACTTTTATCTTTTGATGACATTAAAAAGATTGAGGAATGGACAAACCTCAAAATGGCTCACGTTGTTTTTGACTCTTCCACGGACTCCTTTTCAATGTGCGACTCAGTCTTTGCAAATAAAATTGAAAACAAAAAGAACCTTGTCTTTCTTATTCAGGACACAACAGGCTTTGTCTTTGGTGGGTTTGTTGGGAAAGAAATTGTTAAGAAAGAGTCGCAAACAATTGAAGATGAAAATTGCTTTGTCTTTGTCACAGAATCTCATGGACTCTTGAAGAGTCAAATGAAATTTAAAATAAAGGAAGAACACAAGGGAATAGCATTTTTATGGTATTTCTTGGACAACGACCAAGAAGGGTTATTTGGATTCGCCGATGATATTATGATCTATAAAGATGGGATCAAAGAAAGTAGGTTCAACCTTTCATGCTTTGAGTACGGAGACAAAACAGAGGACTTACTCAAAATGAGGACGTCAATTGACCCATTTGTACCACTACAACTTGTGGTGATACAATTGCTTTAATGTTTTTTTATAGTTTCAGTTTAATATTTTTACTATTTGTTTATTAGTGTTAGTATTAGTTCTGTACTAGTTTATTTATAGTTTAAACATTTTTTTTGAAAAATAAACATGTTTATTGTAATAATAATTATTTTAATTAAAATAGAATAGTTTTTTTACCATTAAATAATAAAAAAATTAACAATCCTTTTTTTCACTTTTAGTAAATATATAATAAAAATAATTATAATTGTTTATTAGGAAAAAAAAAACTTGAAAATTTGATGGCGTCGCAGCGTGAGAGTGAATCGAAGCTCGAGTATTATAGAAAGAGTTACGTATACGCGGAAGCAAACTACGAGTATATCAGTTCTGCATTTTCGTATGATGGGGAGGTTTTTGTGAGTTCTTGTGGGGACAACAAATACCGAGTGCACACCGTGTCAACCCCCAAGACACCTACCCTGATAGACTCGCCGATTTTAGGAACAGGGAAAGTTGCTTTTACACACAACCACAATACAATTGTATCATCCTTTAATACACGCGGACTTTTAAACTCGTTTGGACTCTTTGACTTATACACAAAGGAGTTTGTAAGACTGTTCCATGGGCACACCGATGAAATAACTTCCCTCGAACATAGTATATCAGCTGATATAGTGCTGACCGCTTCGGCTGATGGCCATGTTATGGTCTGGGATATCAGAACGAATAACGCCAATGTTGCGAACACGGTCTTCCAAACGATTCCCGTTGCCAACTTTAACGCAGACGGAAGTGGAATAGTCGTTGTCGAAGGCCAAAATTTGGAGGCGTTTGACTTGAGAAAGTTTCCGTATAACCCTATTCAATTTTTACAACTCCAAAACAGTTACTACCCAAAGCTTAAGTGCTCACTCGACGGAAAAAGAGTGGCTGTTTCTGCAGTTAGTGGGAGTGTTTCAATAATCGACGCTTTCTTTGAGGGCAAGCCTGTTATAGTTTGTATATCTTCCTTTTCATTTACTTTGAAGGAAATCAATTACTCACAAATAGAACACATTTGAAACAAGACAAAAGGATGGTGCGCCAGAAATCGAGTTTTCCCCCGAAGGCAGTCGGATGTTGTATTCCAATGGGTTTGATGGGTCTGTCAACGTCTACAACTTCACCACTAATCTGACTTCACCACTCTCGCAAAGTAATCAAACGACTGTTCAGTCAATCAAGTGCAATTTGAGATACCCTCTCTTCGCCACTTCATGTTCCGTAGTGAATTGGTGGACGGTCCCTTTGATGTGATGGATTGGTGAAACAGAATGATGTTTAATTGACTCTTAAAATTGAGATTATAATGTATTATTATCGATTGACCATCAACGAGTGTTGATGAAAAGGAATGTAATGGTAAAATATATTGAAACAGGTTATGACTTACTGCTTTCTTTGTCATAATTGTCATACCACCAGCTATTGAAGTGCTGTGTTTGGACAAGTTCGCAGACATACTTGTTGTCCTTATACAAACTGATGAACCTCTCGAGGAAATCGTTGATGGTTTTTGGCTTGAAAGTGTCCATAGCCTTCTTAACCATTTCAAGGGGCTCGTCAATGCAACTTGCCTTGACTAAAGCATGGATCTCTTCCACAAATTCGTCAATGACTCGGTCTTCAACACGAGACAACAAGACTTCGCGGTCTTCAAACGTCTTCCCTGATGCTACATTCCCCAGTTTTTCTTGCACTAATGAAGCAATTTTTAACACTAAAAGCTCGTACTTTGGTATTGTGATCACTTTAGGGTTTGACTTCACCTTTTTGAACATGGGCTGCTTCTCTAAGTACACGACATCAGCAGTGGCCAACACGTACTTTTTGTTTGGTGGTAAACTCCCCAATATAGCGGGCATTGGCGATTCTAAGAAGTCGGAGAGTTGTGGGGGGACAATTGGGATGAATAACCCTTGCCAACTGAACGGGTCCAACATCGCCAACAGTGCAAAACACGCAATAGAAAGTTGGTGTTCGGAAGGGGAGATACACACACAACCAATCCCACTCATCACCGCATTGATCATTTGAAGGAAAGCGACGGGATTGACTGTCGTTAAAAGTCGCGGATAACAAAATCGTCGAATTGATTTGAGTTGCGACGAGAAATTGAACTTCACGGAGTGGAAGCTGAAGTTCTTCTTGAGCATATCGTCCGCCGCTAGTAACGGCGAAGCAGACATCGGCGACGGCGAGCGCGAGAACTGCGAAACTTCGCCGATAAATTCTCGTTCTTGGTCTCGCAACTGTTCATTGAATTGGTCAATCACATTCTTCACGCGTTCAATCGCTTCTTTTTGACTTGTTTTATATACAAAGCTCTTCTCTATGGGCATCGTCTTCAGGTAGAACATCTCAAGCCACTTTGTTTTGTACTCAAAATCTGCTTGGAGTAATTGATTCAGTATTCTCGCTGACGTCGTCATAATTGGCGCGGAAGTTGCCAAACAGTAGACTCGACGGGTGAGCACTGTAGAAGTCGTCATAGTGTATAACTTGCGAATTTCGGATTCTTGAATGATGTCAGACGGGAACGGGACGACTTCGACGTGTGGAAGGCATGTACAAAAGAGTGAGTGTGTGTTGGTGTGGAGTAACTGAAAATATGGCGATTCTTTTCGCATCAAATTCGCGTTGGTTATCGCCTCAGTTTTGCACTCAAATGGGATGATGAACTCGACTAACTATACATTAATGTATATTCCCAAGTAAGTATGAAGTGAGGTATAAGAACAAACATGAGAAGGGAGATTCGCGTTGTCTGGATATTTATAAAGTAACTCCGGCTTTACGGTCTTGTTTTTTGATACAATTGTTGTGGGCGGGATACCCCATATAGAGAAAGAATGAATTTTGATCCGTGAGTTTTTGAGTGCATGGTCCACAGACGCTGTGTCCATTGGTATGTTTTTTAGTTAGTCTTGCTAATTCCGAACTAGTTTTTTTAAAAAGTGTTTATTTACACTCCTTTTGTTATTAGCTTGTTATGTATAGCAAATATAAAACACAATAGTTGACAAGAATACATAACAACTGAATAACAAAAGCGAGTTTTTTCATATTATTTAATTGAAATTAAGTAATAAGTTCTATTGCTTTTAGGTACAAAAACGACCAAATGAAACCATACGTATCATGATTATTTTTCGTTCGTAAAAGTATTAAAAACCATAACAAGAAATTTGCATATGTAGTAGCATTGATTAAATGAAACTGTAATAAAAAGACTGAATTGATAATTATATGCCGATTATACACAAAAATTCAGTGACTTCTGAGTAAAACTAATAAGGTAGAGTTCTAGTTGATTTGGGCATAATAACCCGATTTTTGTCATATACCAGACTCTGACAAGAAACGAACTATTTATTATTTCGAATCATGTTCGATTGCAAATAATAGCTCTATAAATATAATTTTTCAAATACCCAACATCTTTTTTGTTCCTTGGTTTACTTTGTTTTGGCCCTTATTATTATCTTATAATTGGCATTATTTATCGTTGTTTTCGGGATATTTTCCCAAATTAATCACATTAAAAATACTTGTAGATTTTTTTTATTCTCCAAAAAATATCCAATACAAATGTTATAAACAGTTGTTTATTTTATTATTAATTATAGTACAGTTGTTTTCATTGAGAAGAAATCCGCTACTAATTCAAGAAACACTTTTGGACTCCCTTTATAAACGAAACTAGTTTTTCCATATGACATCACGCATGCAATACGAGAAATTGCCACCGGAGCCATCGAGCGAAGCCCCAAAGGAACTTCCAAATCAGTCTGATGCAAGTCCACTTGCCCCACCCCCACAGAGCCAAGAACCACAACCACAAGTTTTTCTTCCTCCATTAGTTCAAAAGCCAGTAGTTTTTTATGCTGCCGATGAGGAGTATGAGACAAAGCCTGACAATACTTTTCAGTCTCCATCCTTTGTCTTGTTTGCTGTCGGCTTTTTTATCCCATGTGTGTGGTTCTACCTCATTTACAAGTATCACAACTCTCCACTTAAGAATGACAAAAGATGGGTCTTTTGGTCGATCATTGCCCTTGTTGTTGTCTTTGTGTTTTATTGCATACTTACCACTATTATAGTGTTGGCATAATTTACTTATTTTTTCTAATTTTATTGTCTTCTCCAACGACTTGCAACAAGCGATAATTACTTGCCACTTTGATCTACAAATCTGAGAAAAACAGAAACTTACGAATCAAAACCGAATTATTCAACAGGCTCATAAGGCACTTTCTCCTTCTTTTTGGTGAGATAAATGGCGACAATAACAATAAGGGCAAGAATAATGGCAATCACAACGACACATGAAAGGAAGATCAACGCAATAGCCCAGTCCTCCAGTCCAGAATCTTCGGAAGAAACGGAACTCGACTGCTCTTTGTCACACGCGTCTTTCACACAAACAGAGTTGAACATATCAAACTTGTACCCCACGTCACAGTACGCAGCTCTGCACGTCTGAGACCATTTCCCATCATCTCCACAGATATAGCCACCATGTGCATGTTCTATAGTTATAACAGAGTCACAGTCTTTTGAATACTTTGTGAGTAACTTATTGTTTGGATTACACTGAGTCTGATACTTCTCATAAATTGTCCGAGCAGCATCAACAAACTCTGGCAATTTGTCTTCAGAGTATTTATAAATATGAATTCTCTCGTCGACCGGAGACAACGTGAATTCGCGCGGAATCACCTCTTCGTTGTAGTGCAAATTAAACTTGAAATATTCATAGAAGCTTGTTCTCATAAAACCGCCATATGTCGCCAATTCATCTCCTTCTTGTAAACCCATCTCGTCCATGCCAATGACCGCAGTTGGCGATTGTCCACAATCAAATGCACTGACATCGCCTTCGGGGTCACCTTCATATCCAACATTAATAGCGCTCCCTCTCTCAAACATTCCTTTCGTCAACAACGCACATGCGGAGTAACAGTACCCATCACTGAATAACATGACTTGATCCGGATTTCTTGGGTTTTTAACAAAACGAGCGGCCAACATATTTTCAGGAACAAGCAAAGAGACTTGAGACCGGATATGTGAATATCCTTGATACCAATTTACCACTGGTTCGGTGTACCAATCCCCAATCGTATCATTTGAATCAATGTCATACCGAATTTTGCACGTCTCTGGATCGTACATTCCAGCACCATACTCATGCTTCACACAAAACTCGGCGCCTGGTGATATTCTGACGGAGCCAATCAAGTTGGTGTCTTCAAAAGGGGCAAGAAGGTTCTCAATGTTCGACTCAAGATCCCCATACCCTCCACCATTCATCGGAAGAATCATCGCAATGGGTCCATTGTTATTGTCTATCTGTGCAATACAACTATTAAAAGTGGCATAGAAATTGTCGACTTGGCTTTGTGGGTAGAACGTTTTCAATACAATCACGTTGATAGTCGTTTTGTCCTGTTCTGTGTATGTCTTACACGCCAAGTTTCCATCAGCAGACTCGAAGTCAAATGCCTTGTCGTCGCGCTTCAATTTGCCAAAGATGTCCGAGACCATAATTGGTTCCACAGTTTTGCCTTGTTCTTTTTCTCTCACGATATTTTGTGCGGCTTTAGAAAGGGAAGACACAGGGGCGTACAGCATTTGGTAATTGACATTGGCGGTATTTCCATTAGAAAAGACGATTTTGATTGGGGTTTTCAAGTAGTCGATGTCCAACGGAGTTGATGACAATTTTTTGAATTGTAAAGTCTCCATTGCGTATGTGAATCTTCCAAAACTGGACTTAAGGAATGTGTAACTCTCTGCAAAGTTTCTGATGTAAGCGAGTGGGTCCAAATCGTTAATAGAAGTGATTGGCACGTTTTCATTGGCAATGATTTCGTCTGGAATTACACCACCGTACGGTTTGATTTGTGTGCTTGGGAACAACACAACAGACTTTCCTTCATTGATGATGTCAAAATAGAATGGAAGTGTTGCATAAAAGTTGTCGAAGTAATATGTGTTATTTTTGTCAGAGGTAAGTCTGAATGACAAGTGTAAGTCGTGCGTCGCAGCAAAGACGTTTTGGATATTTTGATAGAACGTGTAAACGGGTTGCTCCGATGTATCGATTTTTTTTAACATGGCATCAATGTCAACTTTTTGATAGTAATTTGGGTGACCTTCAATCTCTGGTGGAGCATGAAGAATATCTTTGTAGACGTATGTTTCAAATATCGCAGTTATATCCGCAAGCATTCGAGTTGCTTTGTCTGCGTCTATAATAACACTATCAATGCATGAAAACGCTGCTTCTACATCGTAAAAGGTATTAACCTTTAAAGACTCACAGTCAATGGAAAGTACATTGAGGATTACAAGCCAAAGGACAAGCATTAGTTCTTTTTTAGTTTAATGTGTTTTTGAATTGATTTTGACAAGGTGATTTTTCTTTTCACTTTGAAAATTAGAGTGCGATGGAAATACAATCCATTACTACAATAACTTTTATTAAAAAGTTAAAATTATTATTTTTGTATTCTTTGGGTAGATTTTATTATAGATTTAACCTCGAAATATAAAACTAGTTAATATATAGAATTTAAATAAAATAATGGAATGGTTTCTATAGTAAAATATTCTATTTTAAATTAAATTTTTTATTAATAACATAATTGAAATAACAATTGTTAAATAATGTTTTAGAAATATTTAATTAAAAATAATTAATTTTGGGTTGACTTGAAAAAAAAAACTTTTGTCTTGAAAATAAATGAAGTTATTATTTGTTCTTCATTATTATTTATTTAACTATAAACAAATTCAAATATATACCATATTAATATTTTACTTATATATATATAAATTATTATAAATATAAATATATATTATAATAAAAATTATGATAAGAAAGTCTATTCCATGTTTTGTTTTTGAAACAAATCACATTTTTCCAGAACTCATTAAAACCCCATGATTTCAAGTTTTCGTGTACCAAATAAGGAACCATTGTAAAACCAGTAAAAGAACCAGAATTATAGTAAAACACAACCCCAACTTTTTGGAGCAAAACGTGAAACTCAAGGCGGGTTGTGTCTTTCTGACTTTCCCAATCTCGGCCTCATCACATCAAGACGTCCTTCGATCAACGAATATCTAGTCAGCTGATGTCTTCGTGCGCTTAGCAGTTTTATTCATCATTTTTATTTTTTGTGCTTCAAAAATAGCAACATACCAGCAAGACGAATTTCTCTTTTTTGAAAAAGTCGGCAATTTTTTGTCTACTTTTTGCTGCAGAAAAACGGGATAACACCGAAAAGATATAACAATAATAAAAAAACCTCATAACGCAAACAAAGAAAAAATATAGCTTCAAAACTATAAAAATCAGATGTCAGTGGTGAGCACCGCTCTCCAATTTTCTCTTGTCGCAAAAATCCTCCAAAAGGTTTGTTCGATGCTGAACGAACCGTATACTCTTATTGTACTCCTTTCACTGCAGTCATCAAACCAGTTCAAAACGGAAAAGTCGATCTCCGAGGAGTTAAGTATGCCACTCTCGAAGGTCAGCACATCGCTGCAAGTCCTCAAAGAGGAGCGGTTAATAGAGTCTGTCACGATGACTGACCGCGTCGGCGAGAAAAAGAAGATCATCTCAGCGTATTACATCAACTACCAATCCGCCATCGAAAACATCGTTTTCAAGTACTCAAAAATAATGAACGAACTCAACGAGTCGCGAAAGGTGGAGGAGGCGATGTACATCTGTAAGTTTGTTCTTATATCTTTGACTTAATACTATTAGATCTAATAGAAACACGTGGAAAGAGACTAACAAAGACAGAAAATGCAATAAAAAGTACACCCAAGAAGAGGCTATAGAGTATATGGATTACGCGACAGGGAGATTGGTGTGTGTGGAGTGCGCTTTGCCCTTGGATAACGATGTTGAAGATTGTTCGAGTCAAGCTAACGCGAAGCTGAAGAACGTCACGGAACAATTCAAAGAAGTCCGAGAGCTTTTGGATCGATTAAAGGATGAGTACCATAGTGTAGAAGACTATCCACACTACACATTGCCTCATCAAGCCGATCAACAGAACGCTCAAGGACATGGTAAAAAGAAGCAACTCATTGCAAGACATCAGAATTATCAAAGCGGGATCATCTCGGGGTTTACAACAAGAATCCTCGATGGTCCAATGCCTTGGGAAGATGACGAAGAGGAAGTTGTATTTGATACCGTCCGCTCATCTGTTAAACTTGGCGATGACGACCGCGTCGACATTTTTGGTAATGTCGTCTTTTTGCAGAACGAATTTATGAAACCGGACGAATCATTCAACAGAACTGAAACATCGATTGTCCCGGGCTCTCTCCACAACTCACCTTCCATCCCCATGTCCTTCAAGATGACAAAGAAGAGCAAAAAACAGAACTGCTCCAGATCTGTTTCTGCTGTTCCTTCTCAGTTTTGATTGATATGAATTTGTACTTTCTTGGTTGTCTGTTATTTCTGTCTTTTTTATTGTTTTACAAATTTCATTGGCTAAGCGACTGTGTTGAGGAAATACCAATAGTCTCTTTGTTGGTATTTATCAACCCAATGAGAAGAGTTGATTGGTATAATGGAGTTCAAGACACTTAAATAGTAACGGTTATAGTATATTTGTTAATAGGAACTAAAGATGAAGTAAAGAGAAAGCAAATTTATTTAGGTGAGTTTGTCATTGTTTGATGTAAAGAACTGCAAAAGGTGGGAGCTCGCACAGTTTGTTTGTGATCTTCTTTCCAGAGACCAAATCAGTACCAAGGGAACAATCTGTCTTGAAACTAAAATTGTTGGTATTGATCAAGACTTGGATCTTATTGTTACCAGACACTTTATTCAGCTTATAAAGTGTTCCAGAGATGTCTTGGCTTTGTCGACTTCCTTTGTATAATGCTGGATTCGCTGCACGGAGTTTCATAAGTTTGGCGACATAGTCGTGTAAGTCCTGTTCATCTTTATTGAACCCTGTGATGTGACCATCTGTACGCGCCATGTTATCATCGTAAGCGCCATTACAATCCCCACTCTTTGTGTAACAACCAACTAAGTCTCCAACTTCGTCACCGTAGTAGATTGTAATTGGTCCCGAATACGAAGCTAATACACCAAATATGGCTTTATGGCGGAGCCAATATTCAGTACTTTGTCGTGTGATACCAAACTTGCGACGAATCAAATTGCCAAATCGCCAGACGTCATGGTTACTAATGAATAAATTGGGATGGAAATCTGAAGGGTAATTCATTTTGTAGATGTCAGCTAGACGCCCCGCAGACTGTGTGCTTGCTCCCGTCTCCGACATCGCGAAAGTCTCGACAAGTGCATATCGGGAGGGGAAATCAAAACAACTCAAAAGACCCTTCCCACTCGTTCCGGTATATCCATACTTCACTATATTCGCAGCATTGTCCCAGATCTCTCCTACCATATACCCTAAGATCCCAAATTTCTTCCCAGCCTTCTTTCGCGCGTTGCAAGTGTCTTCGACGACTTTCCTTATTTGAACCCAGTAATTACTGTTCTGGTTCTTTGTCGATACTTGATAGGCTTGGTCGAGTCTCCACCCATCTATTTCATACTTCTCTATCCAAAACTTGGCAACTTCTTGATAGAACTCGAGAGAACCCGGGTAACTCACGGGATTACTTCCACCTTGGGGAAGTTTTCCTGAAGGAGATTTAGCGACGGCACCGTCTTTATGATGGCCAAAAACACCATCTAAAATGACATAAAGACCATTGGAGTGTGCCGTAGTGACAAGTTCTTGAAAGTCAGAAATGGTACCAAACTTTGGATCAATGTTGAAGTAATCATAACAAAAATACCCGGTAGAGTCTAGAAGACTGTTTCCATTCGAATTAAAGATTGGAGTCATCCATAACGTGTTCATGCCTAGAGATTTGATATAAGGAATTGCCTTGATAATCCCACGCAAATCCCCTTTGTGTGCCGACGGACCATACCCGATACCATATCCCGTCTTCGGGTCTCCATTTTGAAAAGACGAAACCATCACTTGGTATATCCGCAAATTGTCAAACTGAGTATAATCGACTGCGGACGCAACACAGATGAGAAACACAAATAACATGAAAATAGTATGTTTTTCGAGTTATGAATCTTTTCGTTCATTCAAACGCTCCAAAATCATCTTTATACTCTTCAATGGTGCGTTTTCAATTGTTTTGTTATTTTTAATCTGTTTCGAATGGCTTTTTATCAGTGATATCAAAAAGTGGTATTAATCTTACTAATTCGCCATTTTCCACAACTGTTTTTGCACAAGAACTCGAAGTTTGGAATAATTATAATTTGAAATAATATAGTAAAATATTTTAATACTTTTTTATGGTATTTGAAATGGTATATATACCATTTTAATACAAAATAGTATATAAAGATAAGAAGAAGTAGCAGATTATTCTTTATAATACTAAACCCCCACACATTCCAAGTACTATTACGCCATTATACACATAATATCAGAAAATGCAGAAATACACTATTTTGAATGGGTTTTTAAAGATAATAATAAGTATCATTTGATATATATATCCGTATATTGATTGATGCACTTTATGTATAGAAATAAATGAACTCTGTGAATTGACATTCTTTAAAAATAGTTTTAATCAAATGAAGACAAAATGTCAATTCTTTCGTGTCGCAAAAAAATCTCCGATCAACGCAACACAAGATGTTGAAATTATAAATTATTACATTTTATTATCGCAAGTCTTTCGGAGAGCGAAAGGCTATGCAATTAATACACAATTTTTTTAAGCTTGGGAAGCAGACAGCGGACGGATCGGCGTGTGTTTCCTTTGCTTTTTATTGAGTTTGATGACAGTGATATTAGTCGGGGAGTTGTGCACAGAGTCTCTGACAACCGTCGACTCTTTTTCCATGAATGACGTATCGGGCTTCATGAATTCGCTTTGCATGAATACAACGTTTTCGAATGGGTCGAAAGTGTCGTCTTTCTTCGCAACCGCACTTTTCTCTCTCTTAAAGTGTGTTTGATTTTCCCATTCTTCGTCCTCCCACGGCATTGGGCCATCCAATATTCGTGTGACAAATCCGCTTACAATTCCACTTTTGTAATTGTTTTGTCGAATCGCGTTTTGGTGGCGTCGGTTCATATTTTGCATTTGAGTCTTGTCTTCCGCAGAGTATGGAAGAATGTAGTTCGGATAATCATTTGTACTATGATATTCCTCTTTTAACATCTCCAGTAGCGTTTTAAGCTCTTTAAATTGCTCCATCACATTTCGCATCTTCGCAGCAGCACCCGACGACGCAGCTTCGACATAGTTGTCCAATGGGATGTCACAGTTCGGGCATACCAACTTATGTGTGTCAAAGTCCATATACTCAACTGCGACTTCCTCACTGAACCGTGTTTGACATTTGCTACAGATATACGAAGTGTCGTCGGATACTCTATTTTCGTTGAGCTCTGTTGTGATCTTCGCGTATCGGAAAACGATAGTTTCGATGGCGTTTGTATAATTGATGTAAAAGTAACTGATATTTTTCTTCCTCTTCTCGTCGGTACTTTTCTCGATAAACGTTTTAGACTCGATCAAACGTTGTTCTTGAAGTGTTTTAGTCACATTAGAAACAACACCTAACGGCATAGAAATTTCGTCTGATATCGTCTTTTCTGTTTTCGCTGTGTTCGAACTTTGGATATGAAGAAGAACTATCAAGTGCTTTGGATCGTTCAACATCGAGCACACGCGTTGAAGAATCCTTGCTACCAAAGGATACGACTGCGTGGAAGATACAGGTCTCATTTGGTTTATAAAGTTCTCAAATGCACAAAACAAGGCTTTGCTTGAGTTTTGTTAACCCTCAACATTCTGATTCGCCGCTTTTGGAAATCAACAAAGTTTAAAATGAGGATAAGTCGCTTGTACTTTTATTATTTTTTTATTGGATCTTGAGCTGGAATTGACATGTATTTTGACTAAGATTTCGATATGAAAATGATTGTTATTTACGGAGAGTTCAATGGGAGTAGAAATTCTATGTATAGAAATATATATGTTGCTATTTTTGTAATAACACCCGTTTCCCCAGCCTTTCTTTGGCTGTTGAAAACAAAATGCTCTGGCCTAATTGTGGTACAAGTAAACATTAGTATTGATAGGCTCATGAATTTAAACCAAATAGTTCTTTATCAATGAACATAAAATACATAAACTATAAAATAGTGGTTATATAACCATATAATAACTATAAATGTTATGAGGTGGGTCAATTTAATTGCCCATTATATTTGTAAAAGACTTCAAATCGCAACACATTTTTATATTTTTCAGCATATAAATACTTTTGCAATAACGAGCGAAATACTTATTCGTTAATCTTGGTCAAATTGTCTCTAAAAAACAGGAAAGTTGTATTAACAAACAAACAAATTATTGTTTTTATTTCGTAAAGAAAATAAGTTATGTTTTTCATAACGAATAATAAAAAAATAATTTATTTATATATAACAGAATTAAACCATATTTGTTTTATTTTATATTCATTTTTGAAAATAATAATAATAATTATTGTTTATAATAATATGAAGTTTGACTTTGAGGTTTCGATCTCTAAATTTATAAATTAAAAGATGAAAAAAATTAATGATGTTTAGAATCGAAAAAAAGAAATAAAATGTATTATATTATTTTATTAAAATTATCAATAATTATAATACATTAATTTAAATACCAACACAATGAACTCTAATTGAATAGTTAAACAAAGTAAATCATTCAATGGAAGAAGCTGGTGAGTTATGGCAGAACACAGTGATATCACAAGTCGAAGTGATGTCGATCATTCCTCATTACACATTTGACAAGATGGACATCACACAAGACCCAGTATTATTAATAGAAAGTGGTCCCGATATCCGTGGGTTTAACACTGAACTTATTCCCTTTAGAAATTTTGCAATGGTGAGTTATGACCACAGTTTTGAAATATCAACACAAAAAGCGGCAAATCCGCAAGACGTCGAAGCATTTATCAAAGCGACTCGAAAAGCTGAGGAGAATCCATTATCATTGATTGAGATCCTCGAGCGTTTTAATCAATTTGGGTACAATAATAAACACATTATTCATATAGCTCCATCACTTGATGTTCTTCAACAAACAGCAGATCCTGAAAGACTTAGAAATGTCTTTGAAAATTTTTTAATATCGCAGTTGAATTATTCGTTGGTTGTCCTCTCCCTCAAAAACACCCAAATTGGTCGTCTGCTGTCCGATTTAAGAAAAAATCAGGTATTCGATCGATGCGACTTTACACATCCATTCAGCGTCATCACCTTTCCTCGTATCACTCCATATGACATATTTCCATATCAAAGAACAATCAAAGGCATTTTCGTGAAAATACCAGAAAACTACGCAATGGATTTCGAAGCCCTTGAATTCAATTACCGCCCACCTTTTTATGTGATAACACCTGCAACACTGTCCCTCGAACAAAACTTTTTGGTCGGGAAACATAAATTAATCACAAGATGCTCTTCACCACAATTTGAGTGCGACGGACCACTTGTCATGAAAGAGCAACGATTTTTGCATAACAAGTTGCTTTTTGGCGCGTTGGATCTTTTAGAGGCGCAAACTGTTGCAAAGGAAATCTGTCGGAAAATGCCCAACAAAGCGTTTTCAGTATTGGAAGGGCGGGTCTTTATCGAGACGGATGAGCACATTGAGAGTGGGACAACAATGGGGATCGAGAAGTTGATGGAGTTGCATATAACACGCGTTGGAGTTGTTGAGAGATACGTGACAAATTTGAAGAATGACACATCAGAACAGTTTAAAGCACTCCAACACTGGTCATACTTTTACACCGCAAAACGAGTGTTAATAGAAGCGCTGATGTCATCTGATGACTCTGAAAATAAATTACATTTCGATCGGGAGAAGAACACTCTGACTGCAACATGTCTTAAAGTGTGTCATGAGAGCATCACAAAGTATTTTTTTACTAATACTAACAACTCGACGCCAGGAATGAAAAATTTTGTGGGTTTACATAGATGTAATGAAGACTGCAAATGCTTTTCTTTGTGATGTTAAACAATTTCTTTTCTTTTTAATACTTCAAATGCCTTACAGTCTTTTTTAATGACAAAAACTTGCCAGATAAAGTCGATTAGAAATAAGTACAACATACTCTTTCTTTGTCTAATGAGTCAAAAAACCCCTCATCCAAAAATATATGACTCATCATTATAAATGTTAATCACAGTGATAAACTGATGCTTGATATGATCCTGAATGAGTGTCGAAACACCTGAACAATCATCAGAACAGTCACTTTTATTATAAAATGGTGTTCATTGATGCATACAAACTATAAATTATAATTAATTTTATTATTATAATTATATATTATTAGGCGATTCTTGTTTTATTATTTTCCTCGTTTATTATCGAAGCTAAAAATAAAAACAGTATAAAAATAAATTATTATAATAGTAAATAGAGTCAGTCTGTTAACTTTGTTCACTTTCCAAACGTTGTTTTTTCTTTGTACTATTTTTAGAAATAACTAGTTTTTTGAATCAAGTCATAAATAATTTTTGTTTACCACAAAGTAATTTTTCCCAATAATTTTTCATTAATTCTATTAATTAAATTTACAAAAAAATGATTATTACCTTAGTTAGCACAAATTAAATTGAAGTTAAAAAGTCAATTTCCAACTTTCCAGCACTGTTTTTTTCATAAAAAATAATTGTTTATTAAAAAGATCTAAAAAATTAACATGAATTCTTTTACTCAAACTCCACATGTCTTTTCTCGAAATTACGAGATCAATTACGAGGGAATAAATTTTCAACAAATTTTGATACCAATTCCCAACACCGATCCAAAAATTACTATTATGTCTGAGTTATTTGGTGTTGTTGATTCTCTTACTGATAAAATTTTATCACGATATAATGCTGCAATATATGATTATACAAATATTAGAAACTATACGACAACTAAAATACTCGTAGCAATTAACACATTTCAAAAAGACATTGAATGGTTTCTCAAAATCAAAGAAAAAGTTGAAACAATGTTTTCAACAATAAACAAAACAATAAAAATTGTAGAGTTGATACTGGTATGTCTATTTTACAATAAACAATTTGAGACTGCAAGAAATGGGTTTGAACAGCTTAAAAGATGCTTGGAACATGATGGTGTTCCACTTCCAAATGATGGTAGAATACACTTTGATGAGACTCCTTTGCTCGATAGTGTTCAAAGTGCAACAGAACATAACACAACTCCACAATTAATTTTAGTTAATAATGATGTCATTAACGAATTACAAAACAGCGACGAATTAGATGATGATAAAGTTAATTATGGCAATGAAGAAGAGTTTGAAGAATCATCAGAAGAACTTACAGAGATTGACAAAACTAAAAATTGTGATAAAAAAATTATGCCTGTGTTAAACGACGACTCTTTTGATTGCATTGGATTATTTGATTATTTGTTGGAAAGACAAAGAGAAGACGAGTTTGAACAAATAATGGGACATGTATTGAGGTTTTTAAATTTGAAGAGAAACAGAACAGCACCAAAGAGACGAGTACAAATGTTTAAGTTCTATGAATATTTAAACGCCAAAGTAAAAAAGACAAATTCGGCATTTTTTTTTTCAAGTCTTACTTCCAGTGTAAACGACTTCGTGTGGAGAAGGCAAATTAAATTATTTGAAAGTCTTCCTGGTTTATCAGGAAAGAAAACAACTTTTGAAAACGACGAAATCAATAAGATAGTCACTTTTATTGAAAAAAGAGAAAGTGATAACAATCCTGTGAGTTACAGCGACTTGATGTGGTTCGTTGTTAACAAGTTGTACAGAGAAGATGTAACAATAAAGACTCTGTATCATTTCACTTCTAATTGTTCAAAAATAACAACGGTAAAGGGGACAAAAATGGAACAAGAAAGAATGGAAGTGATACGGGAATCAATAGAGTTGTATTTTAATTATCTGGAAGCTAACGCGACAGGAATTCCCGTTGAATTTATTTGGAATGGTGACGAGACTGGATTCCAGAGATGGGTCGATGCTGCACAAAAGACGTTGATTGTAATTAACAAACCAAGAGAAGGTGACACCCATTATCCTACCGAGAGAGCGGGACAGAGGACAACGATGATGGCAGCTATATGTATGGACGGAACCAGTGAAGTTCCATTTTTTATTGTACCTACAGTCACAGTCGAAAAAGAGTTGTTGGAGTTGGGTATAACAAAAAAACAGAGTCTGTCTTAAACATGCCGAAAGGGCATTTATGAATACCACATTGTTTGATCAATGGCTGTCTGAAGTGTTCGTCAAAAGTCTGAATTACAAAAGAAAAATAATTAATTACTATGGGCCAGAAGCATTAATTCTTGATTGTTTTGGTTCTCATTTGACTTGTGACGCTGTATCCATGTTGACTAAGAACAACGTCAAACTCATTCTCATGCCGAGTCACAGCTCACATTTGTTACAAAGTTTAGACGTATCTATATTTGGTAACCAAAAGCGTATATGTTCTTTTGACAAATGTTTTAACAAAGACAAATACGCGAACCTATCGTACACAACAGTGCAAATTCTTTCGATAGTT